GTTCTAGTATCTGTAGTCTCAAATTAAACAAACACATAAACAAAGTTTTCATATGTGCATGGGCATTCAATTTAAGACAAGTAAGTCTTCCCTCTTTTTAAAAAAAAAACTACCTCAGTGCCTACCAGTGCGTTATATGGCCGTGCCCCAGCGCAGAAGATGCATTGTTAAAGTATTTAAATGAAAACATCTTAACAACACAGTATATTCATTGGCTACAGCCATCTTAAAGGGACAAAGAAAAAACTTTCTCAAACTCTGACCCGTATGCATGCTTGTTGTGGAGTCAAGAGAAACAGGGAATTGAAGCAACGCTGCATCATTATTCCTCTCAGTCATATAATTTTATTTTATATCAAACTTTAATAATAGATCGGCTTTATCATAAGCATTCGAAACATCACTGCTATTTATGCCTGGTGATCCAACGTTGTCTGTAAGGATCTTAAAAAAAAACTAAACAAACACAATTCTATAAGCCAACTTAAATCTTAAATTAAGATCTACACATTTTCTCACCATTACATTCCTAACCCCAAGGGAAAGTTTACATTTGGAAATCAAGTTCCAGAGTCTGAAGAGGGAGTGGAGAAGGACAGAATCCATGTCGCTTTAAATCCAGTGTGAGGTTTAAAAGTCAGTGCTGACTTTTCACACAGTCCACAGTCCAATCAGTCTTCAACTAAGAAACTTTTCAATCTCGTCATTCTTTCTTCTGTGGAAAAGCTTTGTGAATATACTGATTTCATGTTCCAACAAGACTTGGCACATACTCAAACTGGCCAGAGCACCAAAAGCTGATTTAGTGACTATGGTGTTTCTGTCAGCTGTATTGGCCAGCATGCTCTGCTGACCTGAACCCCATGAAGAGGCTATGGTGTACTGTTAACAGGAAGATAATACACCAGACCTGGCAACATGGATGACCTGAAGCAACCTGGGTATGTGCCTCCGTAGAATCACAGTTTCATGCCACACTGATGAAATAATTCATATAAAAGTAGGTAGGCCCAACCAGATACTGACTGCATAGAAATTAACATACTTAATATATATATATATATATATATATATATATATATATATATATATATATATATATATATATATATATATATATATATATATATATATATATATATATATATATATATATAATTATTTATTATTTTTTTTATTCACATAATGTAATATTTAAATTTCCTGAAACACTGAATGTTGGGTTTTCGTTATCTGTTAGTCACAAATGAAAAATTTACAAAAAATAAAGGCTTAACAATTTTTACTGTAGGTGCAATGACAAATGTACAAAATAAATAATTTTCAGCTTCTGAAATGAGTGACAACATTTTCAGGATTATCTAGATGTTCCTGTATAGAGATGTACTGTGAGTGTTACCAGTTTCTTGGTGCATGCCAGCTAAAACTGTTAAGCAGAAGCACTATTGTGAATGGTAGTGAAAAGAAACTATTAGTCACTAGTCACTCTTTAGCGGCATGTTGGGACTCTATCACCAACTTGTCTACCAGGTTTGCTAGGCTATGCTTGACCTCTTTAACAATCTGTCTAGAAAGTAAAAGATAAGGCGTTGGAAGGAAAAACTTCTTCCAATGACTTTTTGCTGGGATAATAGACAATCTCCAGTGGAACTCCTTACTCACTGATATCATTAAAGAATGATGTGTCCTATGGATTTACTTATCTCTTAGCTGTATTGATCGCACGTAAATCAGACCAGACAAGACAAAACTAATTTCCCTTAACAACCATGGCAATATTTGAATAAATAGAAAATAATTTAACTGGTGTTTCTACCAGTTGGTATCTACATATAATAATAAAGACTCTGTGACTCGTTGCTGCAACTCTCTGACTGTGTATTTTTTATCAACTTCCCCAACTGTGTAGCCATTTCTACACTTAGAAGGTTCATTTAAAATGGATTCTGTCAATATTTTTATTGAATTGTTATTGCTATTAACACAAACTTCACATGGACATTTCACAATTGTGGTTCTTTGTGTTTAGCAGTAAAAGTATTTGAGAAATGTTTCAACCCCAACTTCTATGTCGGTTTACTGTCATCACAATGTCCAGAGGGTGGTCAAGTCGGCAAGAAGGCCTGAACCATCAGGTCAGAGACTCTTTTGTGCCAAGCTCAATTGGTGCAACAATAATACAGCTTTGTTTGGGAGATCAGGCAGAAGAAAAACAGAGGCTCCATGCCAAAAAGAGACCCATTGTAGTGTCAGCACCCTAAGTTAGACAGCATTGTGGTCATTTAATGGCCTGTGTCAAAGGCCATTGTGCTTTGCCACAATGGAGGTTCAGATGTTCTGAGTGAAAATTGATCTGAGCTGGTCAAAGATTGGATTTATCTGTGATCTGTGTCAACGTCTGTGATCGATTTGGCAGCAGATTATTTGTTTCTGCACATTTGGACGAGCTGGAAGTGCAACACCTAAAACAGGCCATATGTATCCGTATAAATTTAGCTGATATGGGCCTTTTATAACCACTGGGATCAGCAGTTTACTCCTCTTGTAAAAAGAGAAAGAGTGAGGCCTGAGCCACGTGGATCCCTCATTGTACCTCTATATTGTCCCTGTGTGGCTCTATCAATAGTGCTATTGCCGTGTCCACAGGCAAGAGAAAAGTGCTGCAGATGACACTTTGAGATAAAAGCTGGGAGCACCTATGTTGTGAAATGAAGAAGAGTGGAGAAACTGAGCATAGCAAATGTTCAGAAGCAAACAATGGCACTGTCGGTGATGTGTCCTTTGAGCTGCAGTTGTCAGCATAATTTTGCTTGAAGTGCTTATCCAAAACTGATACATGACGACAGCATATTCCGGTGCTTATCCACCACTTGTGGGTGTGCGCCCGAGTGTACATGAGATGATTCTGTGCTTGGTGGCCACAGCTCGGGGCGGTTGCCAAGAGCCTGCATCCATGCTGACACTGAAGCAAGCCTGGACAGGTTGTTCCATTACTGCTTTAATCATTTGGCTGCAAATGGGTTATAGGGAATTGCAGAGAGACAGATATGTATGCACATTCAAAAGAAAAAGAATGAATTAGGACGGACTTCTGTTCCTGTTATTACTCCCCCAAATCTATTGCTGATGGACTCAGTAAAAGTTTATAGATTAGAAATCTTAAGCCTTCCAAGCCACATTAATGAAAATTGTTGTAATGATGCTTTTCTAAAGCTATATTTAGCAAAAAGATAAACTCAGTCAATTATTTACGCAAGAATGTTTCTAGACTTACACATCTGGAAGTAACTAGTACTGTTGCAAGCAGAGGAGTTTATGGCAGACTTCTGCTTCTACTTTGCCAGCGGATGTCGAAATATTGCAGCTGTTGCTGTTCTTTTTTCCCCTTGTCGTGTATTTATTGTGCTGGTCTGTCTGCACAGCATTAAGATCTCTATTGCCAGCAAGTTCCAATTGTGCTCTCTTCAAAATAAAAGGAAAGCCAGCCGCAGACAATAAGTCTTAATTTGATGTTTCTCTATTGGCAAATTCGAATGAGTTATGATGCATCTATCATATGGGTAAAAAAAAAATTACGAGAAACAGTCTGAAATACTTTTGGAAATCATAAGCTAGACGTACTGCTGAAGACAGACTGCGGATTAATATTTTCCGCTTGAGACTCCTTTAAGTCTTTGCTCAATAAAAGTTTTAGTTGGTGACCCCCCACAGGGTGAAAACACCTCTATGGATCTGATCTATATCCATGCAGTTTCAAAATGTCCTATCAGCTTTGGCAATAATGAAACATTGGTGAAGGGCTTAAGTTAATTGCAATTGGTTAGCATCCAGCCGCCTTGCATAAACAGCCTGTCTTGATTGGACATGATAAAGTATGAGCATAAAAGCTGTAGATAAATGCCTAAGTCCTAAAGTGACTCAGTGTAAAAAAATGATCATATTTTTGTACCTATTCCCTAAAACGTGTGAGATTCAAAATTTGCCAGATGGCTTATTGTCACATCCAGTCTCCATTCATGAGATGTGCAACCCGATTCTGTTGACCCTCTCCCCCAAGAGCATGAAAAGCCCATTCAACAAAACCTTAACTTTAGATTAAATGTATTATTATATAAATAAATTAAATCGTAGACTTGCTTATGGTGAATCCGTTTAAAACAAGAGTTTCACTTATTGAATAAATTACCCTTTTTGGGGGAGGGGTTGATAATATTTTTAGACGTGTCGATATGAAACAGAACTGTAAATGCATGCAGGGTTCAGTCTATGGATGAACACGGCAGTGATCGTCAGAGTCACCCAATGATCGAGCACCACACGATGCTCCTCATCACCAGCTTCCATAGGAAGCTCGGCGCAAATTGAGCCGCCTCGCGTCTGCGCACACCGTCCCGGCTCGGCAGCGGCTGGGCTGCACTTTATGAATGGATGGGTGTGGCGAGAGTGTCCGTAACGAGGCCGTCGTCACCGCGCTTGTTGATAGGCTAACGGCGTGCTGCGAGTGAAGGATGGTCCGGGAGTGAAAGGCAGCTGCGCCTCCGCCACGGAGGGTCACAAGAGACAACGAAGGGAAAGAGGGAACGGAGAGGAGAGGAGAGGAGAGGAGCGGAGCGGAGCGGAGAGAGCGCAGCGTCTTCAAACTTCTGGGCGACGATCCGGTGAGGACACAAACAAAGGGTGCGCCGAAACAGAGCGCGAGACGAGTTTTTTGTGTGTTTTTTTTACTTTACTTTGATGCGCGCGCTCACTTTACATGCAACGTCCCGAAAGCGTAAATCATGTGATGGTAAAAATCCTCTAGTCCGCCGTGTGTATGCGTGTGTGTGTGTGCGTGAGTGTGTGCGTGCGTGTGCGTGCGTCTACATCGGATCGATGGTTCGGGTTTAGGTCGGATTGTGTGCTGCAGGCGGCTAATGCGGAGTGAAAACTGGCAGACAAAAGAAAGTCGATGCGAGGTCTCCCCTCCACCCGGTGCGATCCCTCCTTGTAGGTGTGACGGGAGCAACAAAGGGACGCGCAGCAAACTCGCATCAGGACCACAAGCGGGACAAGTCGACGCAGACGGAGCGCACAATAGCGGCGGGGCGGAGTGTCAGAGGCTTGCAAACAACAGTGCGTCTGCGGGTTTTGCAATATGCACCAGGATTCGTGTAATTACCCTCCACCCGGCGTCTCTCGGCTACAGAAGTCGGGGATAATTTTTTTTCTCTCCTGCCAGCGCCGGCAGATCTTAACCCGACAAGAAGCTGAACCGATAATTTGAAGACTTTTTTTTTCTACAAGTCGGGGCTAAAGCCAGAGAGAGAGAGAGAGAGAGAGAGAGAGAGAGAGAGAGAGAGAGAAGAGAGAGAGAGAGAGAGAGAGAAACGCTGCAAGTGTAACAATATGTGAGTTTTGATCTTTGATGCTGTCATCTTAGGCGGGACAGCGTTGTTTAGATCAAATGTATGAAGCGACCTCGTTTGTTTGTCGGTTGCAGTTTAATAGGGAGAGGCGAGGGACGAGCGCTGCTCAGAGTCAACTGGGGAGATCAGAGCAGAGAAGAGGTGTGAACTCAGAGAGGACGTCAAGAACACAGAGGCTCATGCGTTGAAAGGTAGGAGACACCGTGCAGGACTTGTGAATTAATCTTTATGCTCTGAAAAAAAAAATCTGCAGGATAGAGCAGATTACATGTGGACAGACAGCGAGGGGGGTTGCATAACGGTTCAGTTGGGGCTATTCAGCTGCTCTGCACTATATGGACAAAAACCCTCACTCAGGACCTGCATGATAATCCCACTGGTTTTTAAAGTTCTGCTCCACAATGATTGATCTCCCAGCAAAGCCTGTAGGCGCTTCAGGGTTTGGCTAATGGTCTAACTTAAGAGTTTTTATTTTGTTTTTATGGCAGTTTGCAAAAATAGCACGGGTGTATCGCTTGAAATTAATCCAAGATAAAAAGCTGGATACAAGTGATAGTAAACGTGGGGAAGTTGTGAGCAGGGATCGTTTTAACGTTTGGAAAATGTCTACGGAGAACCAAAAGTGCCACAATTTAAAGCAATCACTTTCATGTTTATTTGGTCAAGTGACTAAATATATCCATAAATAACACTATTCAATACAGAGACAGATTATCCACTAAGAAGACGCCTGTTTAAAGAACATAAATATTTTTTTATCACATGAATTTCTTGTTCAGCTGTGATTGAACCTGTAGTCATATAGGTATGCTAATAATATATGAAAATATAAAAAAGTAAATGAAACAAAACAAAAAAAAGCAACACCCCTTTGCCCCCTCCTCCAAAAATAACAGGAATAAAGTAGCAGAATAATCAGACAAAAGTTGCTAAAGTGGTAAAATGTTACATCTGAAGCACGAACCCAGGCAGATCAGTTCCCCAGTTGCTCCACTGTCTGTTTGAGCATGAAGGCTTCGACATCCCTACCCTGGACCCTGGGGTCCGCTGATGGGTACCGATGCACATTCCAGATTTTTTGTGTTCATGCTGGTTGTCCGTGCGGACAGCGGAAATAAGACATCTGTCCACATATATTAATGAAAACAGTCTGTCTAATCAAACAAAGACAAAAATGTTTGTTTTTCCAACATAATGTGGGGAGGTTGGCTTTATCTTTCAGTTCTCGTTCTTTCTCTGTTCCACTGAATGCACAATATGTAAACGAATGCATTATCACCCCCTATGAGAGACACGGAGAAAATATATTCAGGCTTTGACAATATGGTCACATAAAAGAAATAGCAAGGAATTTGAGCTCATATGTTGAAGACCTACTACTGGTTTGTCTTGTATTGAGGAGGAAGTAAAGATAAATACTGACCAGTTAGTGGTATGTGCATTGAGCTAGTTTGAACCTCCCTGATATGAAGGCTTTGATGTGACACATGAGTTGGAAGCTGTGAATGAAACTGACTTAGGTGACACTTTTCACCCTCCATAGTTTCAGGCTTGGTTCTTGGGTGAAAATATTTATTTTTTGCCTGAAAGAAATTTCTGAGAAAAATCATGGCGTTATAAATAATTTATAGAATGAATGCAACATCAATGACAGCATAGCTCAGTTTTCTTTTTAATGTCACGTCGAATGATTTTTACTCTGAAACGTATCACGTAAAGCTAATAAGATTTATAAAGTAGCCCTCAAAAGTGTGTTTTATCTTCAATTTAAAAAAAAAAAATCCTTTCTGGTTCGTATTTATCAAAACAGCTAGTTTTTCAACTTGGTTAAACACAAAATTAAATCCCTCCTCCACCTGCACCATGCATTAGTGAGTTCAGCCTGAAGTCACTCTCTGTGTTCACAGACTGCAGTTTGGATTGCTGCAATTTTTGGCCCAAGCCTGGAAGGAAACTCTGTATCTGTGACAACAGCCAAAACACATATATCCCTGCTGCCTGCATGACATTTCCTGGATTTTTTCCTCGCCTCTCTTTGTCTTTATCATTCCTTCCCTACAAAGCCCCGAAAATGGAGTGGGTGTGGGGATGGTTCGAGAGCTGACATCAGTTCCTCCGTTCCGGCCCACTCCTCAGTGTTTTTCTATCAGCTGTGGAATTTAAACCATTCTTTCTTTGGGCCCGTCCCTCTGTCTGCCCCTTGCTCGGAGTAATATGTTGTTTCTGAAGCCCCTCTGCCTCTGTGTATGCATGTGGATGTGGCTGGGTGGGTATGAGTGGGGCTTTCCAGTTGGGGTTACACACCAAACATTTCTGGCTGCTGGATAGCCATCTAGTGAGCCAAGTACGCACAGCTGGGGGCCAAATAAGAAGAAGAGTCTTTGTGAAAGCTGATCAATGTCCCGCACACATGCAGGGCATATTTTAGTGCTTGCCTCAAATTGATTTTGCAGTTCCACATTGCTTGTCCTTATAAATACAGATTTGCAGTAGTGGTGAGTTGCAATTATTAAAGTTGCATTCTGAAAAAAAGAGACTCGTAGATGCATGCAGAGTTCTGCAGAGGCCAGTGTTCGCTGAGGAGCGAACACTATCTAACAGAGACTCATAGTCATCGCTCACAAGTGTCCTCCTTTCTCACCCGAACCACATGATGTTTGTCCTGTTTAGCAAGTCCTGGAAGGAGGAAAGAGAGAGAGGGGGCAAAGAATAACAAGGCAGAGAAAAAGCAGAAGTGATGGCAAAGAGAGTTTGTTTCTCACTGGCTGCTTCTTTCTTCAACGAGATGTCAACGAGCAGAAGATGTGTATGGAAAGAACAGAAAGCTGGTCAAGTTTGTCGAAAGAACTCAGGGGCAGGGTGCTAAGAGAGGAGGAGAGAAACAAACAAAACAGAAACCAAGCTGTGGAGAAGAGAATGAAGGGAGGGTAGGGGAGGGCAGAACCAGAGGAAGAGGGACACCAAGGGGTTTTGGCTGAGGGGAAGTAAGTGTCGAGGTTGCTGTGGTACTGAAAAGCAGACAGTAGGGGAGACATTTCCAGATTGGACATGACTGTAAATATATATATATATAAAAAAATATACAAAATATGAAATATTTGTTGTTTGTACCCTCCTCATCCTTCTTTATTTGAATAAAATGAAATTCAACTATTTAAAAGGTAACCCATCATTTAATCTATCAGTTTAGTGGAGTGAGGGTGAAAATATATGCTGTCATACCTATAAATTTATATGGATGTATGGTTGGATTAGATTAAAATAAGTTTTCAATTTAATATTTTTAATCAGGCATAGTTTGAATATCACCTGATTAAGAATTTTTAAGAGGGGTCTCTATTTTTTAGTAGGTAGGACTTAAATGATGTTACAGAAAATCCCCCAAATATCTTGTAGATCTGTGAGAAGCAGACCTTGGTAACAACAGAAATCTGATTTTGTACTTGGGAGGTATGGCAGTTCTGACTTTGATATTCAGAAGTCATATTTCGAAGCGTGACCAGACTCACATGCTTTAGAATCAGCCTTTTCGTCACTTTAGTCATTGATGCCTTCAAAAGAAAAACTTTTTAAGGTGGTAAGAAGAGTTAATTTCAAGTCTCAAGTGTGAAGAAAATTAAAGCTTTGATCCAGAATGGCTGACCTCCCGTAAGGTTTGTTTGGACTTTGACGTTTTTGTTGATTCTAGGAAAATACATGTGATCCAAAAGTAATTTACATCAGTTAAAGAAGCAAGAGAACTGAGAGCTTCTTAAAGGTGGCGCTTGTAGATGCATTTTACCATGCCCATGTATAATATAAATAACTTCCTGTTGTCAGTGAACCATGCTGAGGTGATGTCAGACTGTAAATTTTGTTTTGTTGGAGATTCAATCTGAATAATTCTTGGAAAGTTTAGTGTGACTCTGATGTTCTGTGAACTGTGAAAAATGTGTCTTTTATGTTGAGATTTTCTGCGATGAACTGGCAACCTGTCCAAGGCGTACTCCGTCTCTCGCTCAACGATCGCTGGACACAGGCACCAGGCATATTTTAAATAAATATGTTTATCTGAACATTGTTTATGTTTAGATAATGGATGGATGTTGAGATTTCAGAATTTGACATCAGGCAAGCACCCTCTGCCAAAAACCTGATGCTTTTGATAACTTTAAACCCCACAAATCTCATGAATATAGTGAGGAACATGGAAATATTAAAATTGACGTAAAAAAGTAATGATTGGAAAGGTTTTGGTTTTCATCTCAATTCAAAATGGCTGACCTCCTAGTTGTTGTAGGACATAGCCTCAAGACACTTTTGTGTAGGTTTGGGATTCACACATGTAAGTGGTAAATGTCTCCAGCATCAAGACAATTGAAATGCAAATGGGATTGTTGCAAATTCCAACAGGTGAATAAATCTCCTTATTGCTGGACTACTCGACAAACACTTGAACATATATATCATAAATTTATGAATGGATGAAGTCAGGATCTCACAGCTAGTGGGTGAAGACATAGGGAGTTTATGTGGTGAGAGAAGTGGATAAAGAGGTGTTGCATTACAAGCAAGGACAGGACAGACCAGAACTGGTAGATAAGAAAACTCAGTTCAGTTACGAGTGGTTGTCTCTGTCAAGTCATGGCTGATGAAATTCCTTTGGGCTGGAGCAAGGCCAGGGCCTGAAAGAGGGTCTGTGTCAGGAGGTCCGGGAAGTCTTCGTCGAGAGGGAGGAGTATTGCACAACATCACTGCAGACAGTACATACTATATTGGATGCTAGAAAGATCAACACTGCAATGTGAATATCCATTCCTCATGGTGATTTTAAACTAAATAAACTGGCTAAAAAGAATGGCACTGATTTCCTTTTTCTTATGAATGTGAGTGTCTTTCGTGTCCCTCTGGTTTGGCATAATTTATATTCTACACTTTTACCCAGGGGAAATTCTGCCTGGCCACATTTTCTGCATTGCATCATTTTAAAATAACATGTTAAGAGAGGTCCAAGAGATGACTGGGTCAGCTAGAGTTACTGCTGAAGACGAGATCTGAAGATGACCAGTAAACAAAGTTTCAAAACAGGCATTGAACTAATTGTGGCTTTGAAGCTCTAGGATAGAAGGTCATGATCATTTATATCAAATGTTCTTAGTAATAATGAAGATCAGTTTTACTGCGTGTGATACAGTATATATTTATATATAAT